GAGAACAAGACAGTTGCTTTTAGTGGGGTTAATTTTCTGCATAGTAAGAAGATAATGTCAAATTTAATGTACCACATTTAAAGGGACGATAATTGAGTCTGGCCTTGTGAAAGCGTGAAGGTGCTGAGAAAACATTGTAAGTGCGTCCTCTGTGCGATGGGACATCTCAGTAACTTCTCTTTATTTTTAAACTCATTATTTTCGTATTTTATATGCAGACACAATCCTTCCCTTCAGGGGACATGTGTCAAATGAAGTAGTTGTCTTAAAATAGATCCCATGTGAGTCTGCAGTATTGCATGTCACAGTGTGCAACAGTTGTGGAGAGTGAACAGTGTTTAGACTATATAAATACCTATGAAAAAGGAATGTCCTGGGTCACGGTTTGGAATAATACATTCAGGAAGACTTCAGAAATTTCTGAAATTTGAAATTCTGAAATGTCTGAAATGAAATTCTGAAAATCTGAAATGTCAAAACCATTTAATCATCCTCTGCTTCGCTGGAATGGCAAAATAGTAAACATGTATTGAGGCTTTCTTGCTGTTGTGCTTGGCTTTAAAAAAAAAAAAAAAAACCTAAAACAAAACAGGAAGAGAAAGATGACTTTGCTTCCTGAATAAAGCAGATAGATTGTAAATAAATCTCAGCAATGAGTGGCCTTAGTTCCAGATTGCAAGTATAGCTTATGATTTAGGCCATTAAGTACGGTCGGGAATTAATTCATTGACTTCATAAATGAAAATGCAATTTGGGAAAATACTATGCCAGTAAGTCAGTTTGCTCTGCTCGATGTTTTTACTTTGCCCTTTTAATACCTGGATGCTAATACATTTTGCTCAATAGTGCCTTGAATGAAAGAAACAGGAGAAGACGTTTGATATCCAACTTGGTTATTTGCCTGCTGTCACAAGATGCCCAATGCAGACCAAACAGGGTGCAGGTATTGCATGAGATAATTCCCGATCCAGTGCGTGTCTTTTAGACCTAGAGAGTACTAGTTAGGGAGGGCAGAGGAGATTTAGTGTGCTTATGGAAAATACCACCTTCCCATACTGGAGGTTGCAACAGAATGGGAGAAGAGGCCGTGCAGTAAGAGTTTACCTTACGTGTGAAGCAAGATGTTATCCAGAGCTGATGGGGCACCTCTGAAAGTGAGCGAAAGATTTCGGTAAACAAGTTAGACAACACTGGGAAGTGCTAGAGGTCAGACTTCCCAAAAGGAAAAACATGAAGGTTGTAAGAAGCCAGTTCAAAAATTTATAGCGCTTAAAACAGCTGTGTGCCTTGCTGCAGGTTTTGTGGCAGGCTCTCTGAAAGTCAAAGTCCCCGGCACTGGGAAACTATCACCCGGGGAGAAGCTTTGATTTCTATCAAAAGTCGCTATTTCTCAGCATGCTGTGCAGCAGCTGCATAATTTAATAAAGATAATCTAGCTGTGGAGATAATTGACCATACATATTAGTGAAGTGGAGCAGAAGTGAGGAGAAAATAATTAACCAAAGCAAAACATGAGTTCCCCTTGTCTGGATGGTTTACTGAGCGAAGCAGCCCTTCCGAGGCAGCTGCCTGCACAGGCAGGCACGCCAAGAGGGCTCTTCTGGGCTCACCTCGCCTGCTCCGTGAAGGATAAATCCAATGGCAGAGCGACTTTTGCCACCCAAGAAGTTTGGAAAACCCTGCAGGATACACCCCGCCTGCCTGGTTGCTCCTCTGGGCTGTGAAATCCTTACAGGGCTGTGAAATCCTTACAGGGCTGTGCCTTTCCCTGCCTTTGCTGACGTGCTCAAGCATCTCCTGCGCTGTCCCTGGGCAGGCTCGAGTCCTGAAGCCTCTGGGTAACACTCTCCCTTCCACCGTTTGTTTTGGATATGAACTTCCTCGATGTAAAAAAGGTTGGCGCAGGGTAAATAAAACAATTCAGCAATGCATTTAAATTAAACTTCAGAATGAAATAGCAAGGAAAGTTGCCAGTTGTGGAATTAAAAAGAATTTAGCACATCTGGAAAAACTCTGATTGAAAATCTCTGTCTTACTGGCTAATAAAAGAATACTAAAATATCACAGGGCTAAGAATAAAGTTATATTCAGTATACAAGGAAGCAGTATTTAGAAGGGAAATATAATAAAATCAGAATGTCAGAGCTTCATTTTGTAGCCATCCCCTCAGCTGGCACGTAGCTGTGTAGATATTTCCTTGTAGTTTGTCAGTAGTTTGAAAATCACCATGTTTCTGGCTCTCCGACAGAATCTGTATTGTCTGAGTAGGGCTTTTCTGGATATCACAAAGTAATTGTTACGCAGACATGCATCATTATGAATTAGCAAGGTTAATGGACTTAAGACTGAATTGGTGTTAGTAAAGCACACAGTGAACTGAGAATTAGACAAGTACAGAATGTGTTGGGGTGTTATGAAAATTTTTGGCATTTTACTTAGATATTTTTGCAGCTTTATCTTTTCTTTCTTTTTACTACTTTTTGTGTAAAGAAGCTGGCGTGTTTTCAGGAATGATGCAAGTGGTTTGCAGATAGTGACTGTTGGCCTTGAACGCCACAGACGGAGTTAATGGCATGAGGTTTTACTCCCCTACAGTATCTAGCCTTGCATTAAGCTTACGTGAAACAGGAGTTTGCTTTTTTGCACAGTATTAATCCTGTTGGAAATAGAGGGAAGAGCTGTTTACTGAGATCTTCTGTCTTGTCCGATGAGTAGATATACCTACATCCTAGGGATGTTTGAAAAATAGAATCCAAACAGTCTTATCTCCCCTTGCGCTACCACTTTCCCGACATGAAAACAGAGAGGAAAGGTGTGATATGAAAGACACCCCCGCTCAGTATGGATTGCATGTAAATATTATAGAAAGTTGATACAATATTAACTTACTCCCACGCATGTAGGAGCGGTAGCCAGGACATGAATTGTATCTTATAATGTGGTTTAGCCTGCCACACTAGCATCTTACTTGCTAATCCATCTCCCATGGGAGGCCAGGTCTTAAAAAATAGTTTCAGGCTGGGAAGAGGCCAAATAGTTTATGTAAGTGAACAGGAAAGCACGTAGGGTGCTTGAAATGTGCTCTTTGTATTGCAAAGCCATCCAGTAGTTAATAGCCAAGACATGACATGTGGGAAGAGAGGGATCTTGCAAAATTTTTTTTTTTACTATGTGCAGATTGTTTGTCTGTAATAATAAGTACAGTAATACCTGTTTGTATGTCTTCTGTTCATGAAATCATCTGAATGACACAGCTGCTGGGGTGCTGTGCAGGTAATGTGGGAGATACTGGCAAATCCGTGAGTGCTTTCGTGCTGTGCCAGCACCCCAGGACCTGTGCCCGGGCCAGAGACGAGCACCGAGCGAAGCTGGGACTGGAAGGGATGCGCGTGCGGTTAGGGCACGCTGCTTTACCCACGCCGAGGTGAACACACTGGCTCAGCCAAAGGAAGCTGAAACCTATTGTGAGTCTGATTTGCAGCTGGGTAGTTGTGGGCTTTGTACTTCGCTACAGGCTGTTTTGTTGGTTTGGTTAAACTGGTTGTAGTGGCCCTTCATTTACCCTTCTCGTCCTCTGTTGCCTGCCTTCTGCCGCGAGTGACTCTCAAACCCAGGAACGCCGCGGAGCGGTGATCATCAGAGAGTGCTGCAGCTTCTTAGCCAGCTCTAGATCTGTACGGTGAAGTGCGAAATACTCGAGGGAAGCAGAGAGGAAGCCTTTGGTTAGCGAAGGGAAGTCAACTGTTGATGGTTCTTCTGCATGGAGATGGTTTGGGAGAAACTGGTAAAGACTGACAGCAATGAACAGCTGTTTTGTCAGGAATCACATCTTGCATCCAGCCTGCCTCATACCCTGACCACACAGTGCCATTTTATTGGGATAGATCAACCAGTTGTACTGCTAATTCCTCTGCTGATACGGGGATAAATGGAAGTGAAACCCCTAGGCCTGTAACTTATTTGACTTGATGAAGATGACAGGAGGGATGAACAGGCAAAAAGTGTCACCTTATCTGCAGAGCGAGTCAGTGTGGGGGAAGAGGGGGCAGGATGGGACTCAGCTTGGCAGGGGGAGGAAAGCATTGACAGCTGCGCGAGGTGGCACGTCAGCTTGTTCAGAAGGGCTTTAAACAGCAAGCGATGACACCTACAGTCCCGTCGGCTCTTCCTGAGCCTCAAAACAGGCCGAGGGAAAAGAGAAAGAAGAGAGCATACATTTTATTTTTAAAAACGTGAGGCAAAGAACATGAATATCGGAGAGTGGCAGGAGGAGAACTGTGCAAAGCCTGTATTTTGCCTTTGTCCTCCATTAACATTTAAATGTTGTTAAACATCAAGTCCTTTTTCACAGTGTGTACGTTTTCAAGTCGGCCTGAAAAGGCAAGGACTTTTGCGATGAGGCTAAAACAACCTGCAGCAGCAGAAAGCTCAGAAGAAAGCAAAAAAATCTGCAACGTGTTGAGGTTGAAATACTTTCCGTTAGACCTTGGCCTACTGCAAGGAATGACAGGAAAATTAATTCTTGAGGATATTGGCATTGTCAAAATGCTCCACGTCACTGTGGGAGTGAAAATTCCTTAAGGGGAAAACCTGTGGCATGCGCGTGCAATTGTTGTTGAAACAGCTCAGACGTTTAAACCTTAGTGCTGCAAAGAACAAGGGTTTTTAAGACCTTGTTGTGATTGTTAGATCTAACTTTCTCCTCTTTTTTTTTTCTTTTACACAGTGCCCACGTATCACAAGTCAGTAGTAACAGTCCTGCTTCAGGAGAGTAAGTGTTTCTTTCACAATTTCATAGCTACCTTTTTTTGTATATTGAGGCTTTTTAAAGTATTGCTGGTTATTCTTTGCTTTCTCTTTAAGGGTTGTTCTTACACAAACAAAAAAAAGACAGTTTCCCAAACCAGAGCATCTGCAATGATAATAAATCACTTCCTTCTGAAGAATTCTCAGGCCCTGGGTTCTTTCCTGCGCTATGCCGGTGATGTTTTGATTAGGCAGAACTTGCATGTTTAGAGAAGCCATTGGCACTTTGTCATCCTCTTGCTCTTGTTACACCCTGTTGGAACCCCAGCAGAGGGTGGGCCTTGACCCCACTACCAGAATTGCGAGCAGCAGAGCTAATGAATTGGCTCCCTTGCCAGAGCTGGAAATTCCCAATAGCTGATGGGTTTGCAGAACTGATTCTTGTCAATACATGAAACACAGACATACTTGCCTAGTTAAACCATGTGGTTTTTTGCAGTTGCTAAGATCTTTTGACTTTTTCGGGAACTGCAGTCTCAGCAGACTTACAACTATAACAACTTAGCAACAACTTTTGTAAATTCTCTGGAGAAGTCAGCCCAGGTACAAGTTCCCATACTCGTAGCTGCTCAGTTGAAAATTAACCAGCAGATCCTGCAAGTAACTTTTTTAATTATGGAAAAAGCCCTAGAAGCTATATATGGACTTTGGACAGGCGTGATTGAAAAACTCATTCTTCAGCAGACTACTTAAAACATTGCAAGAAACAGGGATGGGACAGGGATGTACAAAGATGTGTTTCTAAATGGTCTTTTTTGGGGAAAAAAAAAATTTAGATTTTGCCCATAAAAACTTCCTCTGATTAAGGAAGGAAGGAAATATTACAAGAAAATGTCAGTACCGAAATGAAGGAGATTTGGTTGTGTTGAAAGTGCAAGTAGTCTCACATCTTTAACTGATACAACTGCAAAGGCTTCCTTGCTGCAGCTCATGTGGAAGCCCTCGTACTGCCTGTGGCCGTGCTGGTGATCTCACACCAGAGTGAGTCAGGGGTGGCTGAGGGTGCATTCACGGCACAAGAATAGTGCAAGAACAGCATGAACTCAGAACCAGATCTGTGCTTGATCACCAAGTTAAGCATATGAGGAGTTTGTAGTGAGGTATCGTTTGCATGTTCTCATCCCTCGGTGAGACAGCAGTGAGTCCCCTTCTTGCAGATGACCCATTGCCTTACTGAGCTCGGATTGCACAAGAGACTTGACCGGTGTCAGCATGGCTGGGTATCAAATATAATTTTGTCAGAGCAAGGACTACTGAAGTGGAGGGTGCAAGTTAGGCATCAATGTCTACGATTGCAGTAAGTAAAATTAGCTCTCTTACTGAAGGTTTAAACATCCCTAGAAATAAAAAAGAGCAAGATGAATTGGGAAGGCTCGGCTCTTCTGAGGGACCTGAACATCAGGGTATCTGAAGATTTTGTCTTAGCTCTTTGCAGATGTCACAGCCCTAGGACATTTTATACTGCCTGCCATCTTAATAAAACATAACCCTCAGATACCCTTGCTTTATTTGCTGTAGCAGAGAGGGAGCTCCACAAAGTCTTTGAGCTCAATTGACCTTATTTTTCGGCTTGACAGGTATTTAGAGAAGACAATCCGCTCAGCCGTGGAGCAGCATCTCTTTGATGTTCATGGCTCAGGCGGCCAGAGTTCAGAGGACTCTGAATCGGGAACATCTTCAGCCTCTTCTAATGTGTCTGCCAGGCAGAGGAGGCGACATCACAAAGAGCAGGAGGAAGCCCGGAGAAACACAGACATGTACGAGCCTGATTTCTTTGTTTTGGAAAGTATATTTGATTAAGTGTACCCTAGTCTTGTCCTCTTATCAAGGCAATGCTTAGTTCTGTTATGAAATGCACTGGCTCGTGCCCCGAGTTGAAAGTGCAGAGCAGACTGCAGTGCCTGTGCAGAGCTCCATTGCATCAGTGAGAGCTGGGAAATGTAGAGTTTATTAGAGGTCGTGGAGTGGGGCAAAGCATGATAAGAATCCAGGTTTTTTTATGCAGTATAGCAGAGTTTTTAATTGCAGTATTTGGAGTTGTTTCATTACAGTATTTATTGCTTTAGTGGAAATTCCCAAGCAGTTGGCCCTATTGCCTGTAACTTTCTTTAGATAAAAACATTGGGTTTAGATGCTTTTCTGAATTCAGGATGTCTTCAAAAATGAGATCAAGTTCCCCTTTTGTATGTGGAGGCACAACTTACGTTTGAGTTTATTGAGGAGACTTGGGAGTTTGAAAGTAGAAGAATCTTCCTACTGATCAGAATTTAAGGATTCTTATCCACCCTGTTACACAAAGTTTAAACATGATTTAGTGGTGAATTTCATTAAATGTCTGTCAAAGAGTAAAAATAACACCTATTTTTCCTTTCATACTACTCTACTTGTGGCATATATTGTGTGGTACAAATGTGTTCTCACCGCAGCCTTAAACACTTGCCCAAGGCAGAGGTATCTTTGCAGAGCTGTAACTACAGACTTTGCAAGGCCACGATCTAGTCAGTGCTTACACATAGGTCTAGCTTTCACACAGCACTAGTTCTTGTAGAGAATGTGTATGCTTGACTGTAGGACTGGATTGCTAGGATTTCGAGTTAGATTCCAAAATAAACATCTGGTCTCTTATTTTTTCCTGGGTGCTGAATTCCCCAAATCCTATTGGATCTGCACCTTCCTATACAAAGCCACTTTTATACAGGTGCATAAGCATCAGTACCTTGGGTTAATATTGCAGCCATGCTGTTTCCCAAAATGTGTCAGTGCTACTGTTGTAAAAAAAATCCATAGTTAAAAATAAAGAGCCATTTCCAGAGTGAATGAAAACATGCTGTGAAGATGGACTAGGAAATGAGCTCTTGCAAGTCGCCAAAGTATCTGGCAGCAGCTCTGAAGCAGTTTTTCTTGTTTAGTAGCCCTGCTGACAGGCTTCTCAGGTAAGTGGGTCAGAGACTGGCTAGTGTACGTGTTTGGAAGCATATAGTACTGCAGGGCTTTTTTTTGACATTGCATTAGTGAACTGCCTTTGGACGTGGTTGACACCGTTGTTCAGGTTCAGTCCATGAAGCTGGAGCCCAGTCAGAAGTTTTGAATGCTGACTAGGGTTCAGATTGTTTTCACTGATTCCCTTAGGTCAGATTACTGGAACTCCTTTGGGTGAATTATCAAAGTTGGGAATTCCTTTCAAAAACTTCTTTCTGCTGTTGTTGTTTTGATTGTCAGTGACTTCATCTCCTTGCTTTGTGGTGGATCACAAGAGGATTTGTAATGTCACAAGATGGGACTTCAGACTGTGTTTATCGCAAAAACACATAGGTGAACTCCCAGGCTTTGCAGACTGCATGATCTACAGGCTATGTATGTGTAATTGGTCTGCTCAGGGGTTTCTAAAAACTTCTACAAAGGCAAATGTGTTATCTTAGAAGTTTAATCCTAGATTTATAATACTTCTTTGTATCTCCCTCCCACCAACAGAACCTGGAGATTCGTGATCTAGAAAATCACTGAAACATTCTGGTTTTGGTTTTGATCTGAATACTGTCATGCTGACACTGTCCAGATACTACAGACTAACTGGTTTCTTGTCACACCAGTGCAAGTCTAGATAAATTCTTTTGCTGTTCGTGAAAGCAGGCTTTGGAGTTGCACAGCACTGTATATGGCAGCCGCGCATACAACAGTTAGCAAACATTCCAGTTTCAATGTCAAGTGTAAGCTGCCTGCCTTTAGCCTCCGGCAGGGTAGGATAGTGAAGAATGAGGTGCATTGTGTTTCTTCTGTTCCCATAATGTAGTGATGTGTTATGTATGTGTGTCTTCATTATTGCATAAAGTAGAGGGAGGACTACTAAACAGGTTGTGAAGGGAAAACTGCGTGCTGAAGGACTCAGCAGGCTAATTGTGCAGGACAAGATAAGCCATAAGCCCTATACCAAGCTTCTGGAAAACATGCTCAAACTCTGCGAGTCCAGAAAATCCCAGCTAGTGCATCATGTGATGACTTAAAGCTGGCTGTCCTGTTCACTTCCCAACATAGCAGAACAGTCCTCTGTCCTAGCAGTTGAGTTGCTGTTGCAGAGATGCATTCCTTTTTCTGTTTCGTGTAATTCCCAAATAGAAGTCAAGCATTTGGCTAAAGCACCACACTCTTGCACTGGCACTTGAGAGTATGAGTAAGAGGGCCAATTATGCAGTGTCATGCACCAAAGGAGATCCTTGGACCGCAGCCGTGAATCACTTTCCTAAATCAAAAGCACGTGTCTCAAAGGAAAATATGCTGCATATTCTCTATAAAAAATACCACAGACAGCCAGGAGCTAGTCCAGCTTCCATGTGAAGTCAATGAGATTCTCTGTGTTGGCTTTAGTGGGAAGTGAATTGAGTCCCAAACAGTGATCCTCACGGCTTTCTCACTGAGGTGTATACACCCGGCTTGCACTCCTCAATGGGATTTAGCATTGCACACTGTGTGTTGTTTGCTGCAGTAGGAAGAACCAGAGATACTGGTTTCGTAGGGCGTAGAAGATGTTGCCGGAACTGCACCAGTCAGCATGACGAATTTCTCTATTGCTACCATAAATGTAGCGGGAGAGCGTTTTAAACAACCTCTTGTTCTAATGTCCCTTTTATTTGTAGGGAAGTCGTCAACAAAGAAAACATTCCCTCTGGATTCAGCAATCTTGAAGACTGTATTCTAGCTGCTCAAGAAGTAGAAAAATTACAAGACAACAGCTCTGGATACCTTAGTGAAAGGAATAAACCAAAACGGCAGAAATCCAGCACCAAGCTTTCAGAGCTTAATGACAACCAGGACAGTCCTGTGGTAAGGCAGCATGCTGTACTATTTGACACCTAGTACTAGGGTGGGAAAAATTCTCTTTTTTTTTTTTTTTTCTTCTTTTATTTCAGTGCGCATCTGGTTCCCTTGGGTAGCCATTTTTGCCTACAGTAAAAGCGTAAGTGGCTGTTTTGGATTATGGGGGACACTGGATCCTGCACTTGTAACCTTTGTGATGAGGCAACTGAAAAGCCGTATTTCTGCTGTGACCCTCTTATTTCATCTAGAGTCATTTTCTCTTTCCACAACTTTTTGCTTTTTTCTTCTGAATTCAGCGAAATATTTTGGAAAGAGAAAAAGGACGTAAGTCTTTTTCCCAGTCTTTCAGAAGTCTTGCAGAGAGTTTGGAACCTCACATGTAGGTTCACATGTTTAGGTCAAGTTTATTTTTGTATTCCTGCTAAGTTCTGAAACTGTAGGTCGCAAGAGACTTCTTGATGATGAGATGACAAAGGTGTTTTATGCCTTTTCCCTAAAGTCTGTGTGTTACTGCGGTGTTTGCAATTTGCAAAACACTTTGGAGTGTGTTGCTCCAAAAAATTATCCCTCTAGCTACCTTTTACTGAGGAGGTAAATGACACCGATATGACATCCTAAAAATCTGGAATACTGTAGAATTTTCTGAGCATATTCTTGTGTGACCTTCACAGTAGAAGACAGTTTGCCAACTTTTAGAAACTGTAGAATAAAACTGATGCGCCCTTCTTCCCTCTCAACCAAACCAGACACTCATTATCGTGTCAGCAGTTGAGAAACTGTACTGTGCTTCAGCGCAGGGTTTGCTTACAGTGGCAGAAGGCATGCATTACACGGTTACTAGTAACAGTGAAAGCTGTGTGAAAAGACTGTCCTTCTGAGCTATAAGGGCGTTTCCTTCAGTTGTACTTGATGAAGTTATAGAGCTGCTGTGAATTAGTTCCTTCTTAATGTGACATTGTGTTGGGACTCATTTTGTTTAGGTCACAAAATTGCAATGATCTGATGCTCTTACCGTGTGCAGAAATTTCAGAGAGAGGCAGATTTGCCTTCTCTTTGTGATAAAAAGAAGGCAAGATGCCAAAAATTGTCAGCTGTGCTTAGATTTAGCACTCAGTATCAGTAACCTCCTCATGTGATAGTTCATGAAAGAGCACAGTGAGATAGACACACTCTTGCTTTGTGGCTTTGCTTGTAGCAATGCACTTTAAGATAGGCAAAGGTCAAGTGCTTACACTCTTTTCTGCACCTCTTCTCTGTACCTGTGGAGTGTAATGCAGTTTAACTGTAAATGAGAATTTGACTCAGGATTTGGGAAAGGAAAGACTGACAGAAGTGTCCACTTTTGCTGTGGACGTGAAAAACATTCATGAAGTCTTAAAACATACCCAGACAAAATGTCCTCAAACTTAACCTCTGTCCACTGGACTTTACCCTGCCCCTCATTTTTGGATCTCTTGAGGGGCAAAGACTGAAAGGAACATAAAATGGACTAACCTTGCACAAAAAGCACTTTGACCAAGATGACCATCAGTGTGGTTCTTGCTTGCTTTGCTAGAGGAAGTGTCACAGTAGGATTTTCAACTGGGAGTATGGTTATGAAACAGCTTGCAGAGAGCATGGTGCTACTCTTTTTGAAGAGCAAAGGCTGCTTTTTAAATTTTCATGAGTGCACTTATTTCGTACTTGCATTTCAGAGAGTGCCAGCAGGATGTGTGGTGGTTTAGCTTTCTTTTGGCTACATCTTTACACTCCAAATAATAACCCAAATTAGACTACCTACTTGGAGTATCAAAGGGCATAACCTGCACCTTAGCATTTACTAATAGGGCTTTGTCATATAAATGAGTTTGTGATGTTGTATTTTCTTAGCCACCTTTTTTCTGAGCCTTCCTGCTTTTCAAAGCCTGAAAGAGTATGTAGGACAGTGTGTGGAAGCTTTCCTCTTAGCTGTCTAATTGCATCTGAGTCAAAAGCGTAAGTCAGCGGTGGAAAAACTGTCAGTTCCACTTTATCTCCAAAACAAACCAACCACAAAGCATTAAAAGCTTGTAACCGCATTTCAGCGACAGGGTAGCCAGATACCAGTAGGACTTGAAGAATCACATTGAGCAAGGCTGGAATGACCAAGCTGTGTCACGTTATGGGGCTGGAGGTGTGGCGGGTGAGAGAGAGCTGTGACTGCCCCAGAAAGTCTGTGCACGAAGTTCCCGGGGCTGGGGCAGGAATCACCATCCATTCTGATTGACTTCCTCCAATTTAAGAGCGACTTGCCCAAAAAACAGGGCAGAAAAACCTCTGGACATGTGCCTAAAGCGGCAACGTGGCTTGTCTTTGCAGTACTTTCTCAAGCTCTTAGAGGGCAACAGCGTTAATGTTCCTAATGATAGCCAAGACAAATTTTCGAACAAGTTGTCATAACCAGTTGAATCTCTTGCCCTGCATTCATATTGGCACAATTTAACGTTACCTCTGTGTACATGGAAGTCTTTTTGCATTCTTCTGCCCGTTTAAGAAGAAACTAAGGAAGGGTTTGGCTGAGAAGGGAAGTATTTTCTGAGATGAGCATAGGGAGTCCTGCTGGGAAGATGCTGTCGATTTGGGTCCCTGCTCTTACAGGACTTGTACACACCACAGAATTACTCTCAAGCTCAGCCTGTCTGTCAGTCTGTGAAATGGGAGCTGGCGGGGCACCATCCAGCATTATTCTGTTAGACGTTTTGAGGTCATCTGATAGAAGAGACAAAGCAGTGAGCAGTTGGGATTTTTTGGAGGTTACGGGCAATAAAAGTGTGGGGTTTGTTTTGTTATAAATGTGCAGCAGGCAGTGGTGTGATTGTTGTCTTGTTTCTAGAAGTCCTGGTGGATATTTCTATATTTGATCTGTTTATTGGCCTGCAGCTTGAATCTGTTTCTCTTGTGTATCTTACTGCTTTAACATTTACTGTATTACAGAGTATGGAAAGCTTTAGCTCATCCAGGCCTATAGACAGAACAGGACCTGATGACATGGAAATTTTATCTGAAGAAAGGTGATGTTTTTATTTTTATTTTAAATTTTTTTAAAATATATTTATGTTTTATTTTCCTTGTGGTTGTAGTACAACCTAAGAGATCTTCCAGCACAGACTGAGGGTGACATTTAGTTATGCTGCAGGACAGCATTACCAACCATGTTAGCTTCAAAATAGAACTATATGGAGGCACTGCGTATGTCGTGTGGGCTCTGCCCAGCAGCATACACCCCCAAGACTCTTCTCCCAACCTGTTAGGAATGCCACTGAAGATGCTTATGATGCAGACTTGGAATAAAGTCAGCTGTGAAGCACCTGAACCAGCACGCTCTACGCAGGGGACTGCAGGGCCTGTCTCACCTGGCCTCTGGGTTGGGAATCCAGCCCTTTTCTTTGTGCTTCACTCTTCTGCGAGAGCTGTACAGCTCAGCTCTGATCACCTGAGATGACAGTTTCTCTCCATGCTTATGTTTGTTGGGAGAGTAGTTATTGGTTTGGATTAAGGGCACTGGAATTAAATGACATTGTATTTTTCACAAATAGCTCCTGAGAGGAAGCAAACATACATGGTTTAGTAGTGCGAAGTGCTGCAGCCCAGAGTGTTCCTTCATTGCTGAATGAATTAGTAAGTGTGCAGCAGTAGCAAGAATCTAAAAGCCTACCTGTGCAGAAGTCCTGCTTGTTTTTGTTACAAGTCTGGTTTTGTATTTGTAATATGTTGGTTTGTTTTTGTTTTTTTGTAGCAAAGGAAGTGAAAACGATGAGGTTTTTTTCAGGCACTCTCAGGTTGGTATTTTTGGGGTTTTGTGTTTCAGTTTTGTGGTCTCTAAATGGGCTTTTTATTGAGCAGAAACAAGTAGTTAGGTGTATAGTTCTGTGAAATTTTGTTTCTCCCAGAGAAATGGAGTTAGCATTTGCTTTTTCTTTCCTTTCCCTCTGCTTTTTGTTTACATAATTTAGGGAGCCTCTCAACCACTGAGGAGTCTGAAAGCATCTGCTTCAGTCCCTTCGATCCCTCCTTGCCAAAACGGGAAGTGTCACCGAAGTCAGCACTTTGGATTAGTGACACCAAGTTGCCTTATTAATCATTGCAAACAGGGTGTGTGACTGGTTATCTCCCAGGGTAGTAAGATTAGCTTGTCTCTCTTACTTTGTCTAAAATCATTTGGTCTTTTATTTATGATTTCCCAGTGTGGCATGTTGCCCTTGAACCTAGGTGTCTGTGATCCATTTGTCTTAGAAAACTGGACCGTCTCCTGCTTCTCTCTTAGGGTAGGTGGTTGGGGTGGATGTCAGGAGAGGAGATGCAACACTGATGGCAGCAGTTTTTCCCCAACTTTCCATTTCTGCTCAACACCCACCTCCTGCGTTCGCTTTATGGTGTTTTTCATCTAACTGTCCAGCAAAGCAAAGATTGGGGTTGGGTTAGGTGAACACCTTTGCAGTCACTGGTTCATTTGGGTTTGCCTGAAAGGCCTCTCGACAGCCAGGCACTTAAAATGCTGAGGGGAATTGTCTGAGGCACCTCTCCCTTAGTTGTGCACCCATTTTAGAGGAGCACAGTAAAACAGCTGTTAACAATGTCTGGTTTTTCTGGCTATCTGGCGTTAACTGAGGGCTGATAGTATTTTTAAATTAGCCTCCTCTTGTGTTTTTTTAAAAATAAAAACCACTATGCATTTATTGCCTTTGAAGGACTTAATTTCTGGTAGGTATTATTTCCATCTAGCAGGAAAGGTAAAAGAGATTATTTGCGAACAGCTGGGCTCTGACCAGCTGTGTGGTAGCTGGGGAAGTTCATGGGGCACTGGAACAGGTAACCTCTGCAAGGGGTGTGCGGTGCTGCTTTTGATCACTGCTCTGACAGGGCTTAGATGGATTTCCTACTTTGCTCCCAGAGGGTCGCTGATCCCCAGTGATCCTACTCTTGCCTGTGAGCTGTTGGGTTTTCCGGAGCCTGGATTTTGCAACACCTCGTTCCTCACGTACCAGCTTGCACGTGGAGAAGGCGCTGTCGCTGCCATGCCGCGCAATACTCCCATTAAGCTTTTAAATTAGTCTGAGGGAGGTGAAATCATGAATTATGAAATCATCATCTTAAAATAAGCTTCTCCTTAGGAAGAGTTTTAAAATTTAGAATTTTAACTGCAGGAGAAGACGTAGCCTTAACCCAGAGATTGTATTATATAGGAATTACAAGGTCACATTCCTGCAGGATAGTTTTACGTTCCTTGTCCCTTATAAGCCTTTTGCTTAGGACAGCTTAAAGACGTACTTTTCATAACAAACAACTCATTCAGGATCAGGAAGGGACAGGGGCTTTCTTACTCTTTTCTCTTTCTCGCCCTGTCTTCACTATGAGGATATTAGGAAAGGTATTTGGAGTTTGCCATAGCTACTGGTTGTGCAGACTCGGGTCTCCATGAGGCAGTAAAAATACCTTGAAACACATGTCCTGAATGAATATTCAGCAATTTTGTAGCTTTGATAATCTGCCCTTGGAAGTAGCTAATCTCCAGGATGTCGACTGTGATTGGAACAACACAGGTTTCTAGAACGCAGGTTTTGATAAAGGAAGGGTGTTTGAGATCACACCAACATGGCAACAAGTGCAGAGGTGGGTTGGCGTGACTCAGGAGTAAGGCAGCAGAAGGGCTGTGTTCTTGCATCAGATTGTATTACCAAGAGATGCTTACGGGTGCTTCCTGTTTGTGGTTGTACTGGATGATCAGATGTAGGGGAAGCAAGCCTTTTAAATAAAATTGATTTGAATCCACATGTAATCGAACAGCATATAACTTCCTGATCAGAATTCAAAGATCTTTCCGTTGCCATTTACGTCTATCTGCTTGAGCTACTCTTTATGCTAAATCTCCTTTGGAGCAGGGAGAATGAAAGCAGCTGACTTATCCACAAGTTCCTTAGATCTGTAGTTACTGGTACCTGCAAAGCATGGCTGCAGAAGCCGCTTCTAAAGAGCAGAACTCTAGTGCTTACTTTGAAGATTTTTTTTATTTTATTTTTTTTTGTCGTCATTTATGTAATAACGGCAGTGTACTGTGACTGCCAGCTGCTACTGAGATCATCAACTTGCTACCCCTTTGGTTTGTAAGAAATTGTGGCACCTAAACACAGTAGTCTCTCTTACTTGATTTTTGTCCTGGAGCTTGGCAACTGATGGCATCAGGAAATCAAATAGGAAAATAAGTGAATTATCTGAAAATGGGAATACTGAATTATCTACCACTCTACGGGTTTGGAGTGTTAATGCAAAGAAGGTTAAACATCTGCTTTCTTGAGTCTCCTGGGTTCGTACCACCATTGTTCTTCAGAACGCCTAATGATTTATTCATTGTATTAGAGGCTACATCAGTGAGCAAGGAAAGGTGAGTAACTGGCTGCAGGCACAGCACAGGCCTATTTTAAACAGCTTTTAAATATTTCCAACGACTGAAGTGACTTTAGAAGAAAGAAGACATTGATATGATCTTTCTAATATGTCTGTAACAGAAACGTTTACTCATCTGGGAAGTACTCTTATATTTGCTGCAGATATCTTTTAGGAGTCTTGGTAAGTCAGGAGATTGTACACTCTTCATAGAAAGACATTTAAGTCTGTAGTTAGTATCAGTGGTGGTGCGAGATGGTATTTGCAGGTTGCTCCCTTTGCAGTTGTTAAAATCTAGGTAAGTTCCTTTCTTCACACCTCTTGATGTTATTAAAAATAGCACCTATTTTGAAGCTTACTGCGTTAGCACTACTTCTTTCAGTCTTAAAATACTGTGCTGGCAATTTAAATGCAGTTTATCCACTGGTACAGTTTGTTCTTTAGTAAATGTAGAAGACTGCCTGTTTCTGGCCACTGACCAGTCTTTCTGTTTGTAATGTACACTGACTTTTTAGATCCTGGCAAGAAATTTGTTACTGGACCTTAAAGAAATATTTAAGTCCTCCCAACCTGGAAGCAGCTTAAAAGATATTGAATGGTGAATTAGCATTTTTCCATGTACAGCTCTCCCAATAAACACGTTTGTAATCAGATTTAGTGTCAAGCTGTACGAATTATTAGTGCTTGGCAAACTGTCATCTAGTATTTCCTTTTGTTATAATGTTTCAAAAAGGCGATTTATTGAAATGAAAAGGAAATACAAACCTTATACAAATAAAGTGCAGAACATTCTTTACACGTACCGGGGTGTTCATCACCCAGGTTTTTAGAACCGTAGAACAGCCCAGTTTGGAAGGGACCTCGAAAGATCACCTGGTCCAACCTTTCGTGGGAAAGGGAGCCTCAAAGGGGGGGGGGGAAACCCCAAACACATCATTAGCTTTGTGCAGACGAAAAAAAATTGTGTGCCTTAGTGGCATGTACTAAGGATATTGATTCAGTACTGTTTGGCCAGGCTTCTGAATTCACAAGTGAAATAGATCTGAATGTACCAGTTATTTTCTTTAGGCCCATTTTCTTCATGCATCAGCATGTGCAGATTGCAAACTAGATTATCAAAATACCTGTGGGGGGAAAAGTCTGCGTGTTGACCACCTGCTAGACTATGTTTCAGAGAGTTACGCCTAAGCTGTTCTTACCGAGATCAAATCGTTTATATAGTGATGTAATGCTGTCTGTACAGACAGCTTTGTGTTTGTTGGTGTGTTTTTACATATCGCTGTGTATGTTTGTGTACATGCTTTACACTTCCTTTTCCCTGCTGCCCTCTGTGAGGCATTGCAGCTAATTTATTTCAGAGTGACAAAACTGCTCGTGTCATCAGGCGCTATTACAGACACGCGCACTGTGTATTTGGATTGTGGGAATGGCAGTGATTTCTGCATAAATGCACACGACGTGTGGTATGTGCAGGGGTGAATAGTGGCGAGACAAACAGCAATTGCTTCTAGGTAGCACAAAATGATGAATCATTTACTTGACAGCATTCTGCCTTTTTTTTTTTTTTTTTCCCCCCCTAAGTCATTGGATGCTTGTCTGAATTTTTTGGCTTTTTCCCAGAGTCCACAGTGCTTCCAGCTGAGATGCCAAACCCCACTGCCGTTTGGATTTGCGCAACATTGCTTTAATACCCAGAGCTCCTCCATAAATAGTTCTGCTCTCCCCACGCCCAGCTAGAAAACAACCAGAGGAAATCGGGGAATGTGCAGCCAGCACAGCTTAGCTGGCACTAATTGATCTGAGCCAGCACAGCCTGCATGAGAGCATTCATGTACGTAGCCCGCACCGCTTGCTGTCTGCGGCTGCTACCTCAGGAGCTCCGGTGCCTGCTTTTTAGAAGACACCATATTGCTACAGCCTTACAACAGCAGCAGCAGCGTTTTTATTGTTGCTCCAAGGAGTTGGGCTCCTGTAGGAAGTGGACGCAGCCGCCCCCTCTCTCTCCCTTTCTCCCTGCCTTCCTCCCTCCCTTTCCATCCCAGTCGATTACTGGAGGCTTTTTCAGCTGCATGCAGTTGTCAGGGCAGGCAGTCTTGGGAACTTGCAGTGGATTTCTAAAGAAGGAAAAATTCAAGGAAGGCAGATGGACAGATGTTTTTACTGGTGTGAGTGAGCAATTAGTACGTAGGGGTCACCGAGGAGGGGATTTGGAGCTGCAAACATCAGGGTCTGTTTGTTTGGGTCATTTTAGCTAAAGGCATGAGCTTAATGCCGCTGTGACTGCCGGGGCGTTTTTTCCTCCTCTGCTTCCTGAAACATTTTTATTTTTTTTTCCTTTCTCTCTCATTTCTGTGGGTGTATGGGAATATAGCTGACTTCAGGTATGAAGATTCAAGAGCATACAAGCATTCCTGAAAACAAGTTGCAAAGAAATCAAGATACTGATGATCAGGAAAACAGCTTTGTGCCCGAAGTGCCTCGGCTGGATTTGACAGCGCTGTGCAATGACAACAACTGGGAAGGTAGGATTGTGTGATGGCTGGTGGTATGAGTGAAACGAGAGAGAGGGAAACCGGAGTGGGCTGGGTGTATCTTTATGTGATCATGTTCCCTTGCCAACAACAACAGGAAAGCGATTTTGTCCTGAAAATGGAACTGAAAGTTTGGCAAAACTTGAAGCAAAGTACTGGATGGGTACTAATTTTAACTGTCACTTAGAGGAAGAAAATTAATTGTTCTATTCTTAAAGTTACTTTCATGGGCTGTTTAGTAGCATTAAGTCCCTGAGTGTTTCAGGGTAACTTATTTGTTGGTGGTTGATCACTCAAGTATTAAGCGAGGCTGCCCTGCACTTCAGAGAAACTGAGTATTTCACAGTCTAAAAGGAACTTCCTTCTTTCTCCCTTTTCTTCCATTTCAGTCACTATTTGGAAATAATGATTTGGATCTGAACAGCACAGCTGGAAAAAAGGCTCTCTGTCTGCTACTTTGTCTTTTGATGGTTTTTACAAAAACTTTTTTTTTTTGAGTATGCTGTGAAAAAATTCTGATCACCAGCTCAGATGGAAGTGTTAAATTGCATGTGGTTTAAGTTACGTTAGTACTGTTTGTTAGCTCTCGTCTCCAGAGCGCGTGCTCGGTGGGCTGTTTGCACTGACTCACTTGAGAGTGGGGAAATCATGGGGAACTCTGTGGGTGCCGTGAACCTCAATTTCACTTGAAATTGAGGTGAATTGAAGGTGTCCAGCGCCTCTGGGATGAAACCTTTTTCCAGTTACTGAGTATGTCTCTGTGTACAAGCAAGAATTCTTCTGTTAGTTTGTGCTTTAGGAGTGAAAGAGGGGCTTTGACAGGGAAGAAGCAGGAAAACGCGAGTATGGTATTTTAATAAAGCAAGCGAGGGAAAATGTGTAACTAATTTATTGCTCTAAAAAACCAATCTCTGAGGAACACTGAGAGGTTAAGTTCTCTGCTCCTGCCTCCCCAGCATACGTGACCTAGTATATTTTACCTTTCCCTCCAAGAAGGGAGTAGTTACGACATGGGTAAAGGAAACCCGCAGCCGTGGCTGCCTTTGATTCAGCCAGGCAGCTAGTCATCATGGACGAGGGCGAATTTCTCCACTTGCTTGCTAGGTGGGGATTCCCAGGGTGGTATCACCACGCATGCAGCATGGCTGATCAAAGCACCATGGAAGGGCTCCCGGGAGGCCTTGACTGCCTGATGTGTTTGCTGAGATGGTAATTAGCACTGCCCTGCAGGGTCTCGAGCCAGGGTGAGCACGTCTCTGTTCTTAGAGGTGATGTGTGGCTTCAGCCGTCATGTGAATCTTTGGAAATAATGACTCTCTTATTTTTCTTCCTGGGTTACTAATGGGAGTCATATGAATGCATGAAGGGGAGAACACAGCTCCTTTCTGTCTGCCAGCGGCTTTCCTGTCGTATGAAAGGAGTTGCACCTTTGGTACAACTCGCTCTTCATAGGCATGTGCTTATGTTTGGATTCTAGCGTTCTTGCCCTGCAAATACGAAACAGGATTATGAGCATGTGCGACTGTGCTTGAAGAGTGCTTCTCTCTGATCCTTCCTTCCTCCATTCTGCTCATATATATTTCACAAGAGGAGGAGGTGGGCAGTTGTAAAAGAATCAGCTCTCTGAGGTGAGAGATGTCATCATCTAAAATACGTGCCTTCCAGAATCACCATTTTGTTGGCACAGATGAAAGAGCAGCAAAATGGTGCCTTCTGTGTCTCAGCAAGGAGCAACCGAGTCTTTCCTAGCTGTGGATGTGAAATCAAGCTTGCAGCAGCCGGGAAGGGATAGATCTTAATGTGAGCTCTCAGACTGCTTCTGCAGCTAACAGCAGTGTCTGTCATTGAGACTGGCTTTGCAGGACAGGGTTCTACCACCCGTCCACAGCTCTAGCAGCCAGGGCATCCTCCCTTCCCCTGCCAGCCAGCCTGTGTCACTCCAGCCTTCACACATCTCTTCAGGCTCTGGGCCGCAGCTCTGGTTGCATCCCCAGTGAAAAGGGAAAGGACTGTGCCTCCAAATGCAGTAACACTCAGTTATTTCTTGCTTTGCTGTAGCAAATTTGGTAGGTCCATCTCTCAGGAAATCACTCATTCTTCCAGGACATAGTTGAGCTGACTTTTGGGGACAGGGTCATCTGTATCATACTGCAGGAGGTACGTCTAGTGTAGACATCCTAGATACATTTAGGAGGGCATCTAGTGACCAGGGCAACTGCCGGGCCTTTCACAAGTGGCTTGTGAGAACAATTACAGGTTGAGGGGTTGCCCTCAGCTGTAGCTGCCGCTGCCTCCAGTCAAATGTTAGGCAAGCACCTTGAAGAATGGGCACAAAATTACACCAGAGAACCTTGTCCATTGACTAGCTTTGATTTGTCACTCAGGCAGGCTCTCCATCATGTTAAGACCAGAGCTGCCTTAAAATCCCTCATCTCGGGGCACAGAACTGTGATAACTGCTGCCAGGTGAGCTGGCAGGGCCCCCTGCCTTTTATGTTATGCTAGAAGTAATTTTTACCAGATTTTTTTCTAAGGTTCACCACATAATCAAATCTGTACACAAGAGGAGAGATTTGCTGTACTTCTCCAGGCTATGTTGCCTTTACCTAAAGCTGAGCAGAGTGCATAAGCTCACGCTCTACCATGTGTCCACCTTCTGTGTCCACCTTGCCTGCTTCGTATAGGTGCCTATAGGTAGTAATCATCAAGCTATTGATGTAGTACGCAGGGCGTCAGCAGCCAAATTCAAGTGCTGAATGCTTAACCTAGGTGCATTTCCCGTGGTCCAAAAGAAGTATTTAATAGTGTGCACTTGGCAGATGCAAATCATATAGTTTTATTCTCAGGCTGGATGCGAACCGAGCCGTTTGGGTGAACTGGGAGGACTGACTGCTAGGCTTGCCTGCTAAGCCAGTCGGTTGGTGCCAGCTGAGACGGCTTGTGAGCAAGCGTTTTCAGAGCTACTGCCATAGCAAAGGTTTTTAATTATTGGGGATTACATCTGAATCGAGTGCTGTGAGCGAGGAGGACAGAGTGTTCTCTGACAGTCCAGCACTATTGTGCAGATTTCTTACCAAATGTTTCTAATTCAAGCCCAGAACTTGCTCTCCTGCCCTCAAGGAAAATCTGGAAGTGTGTTGCTCTCCAGAACAGCGACTGGCACTGTCAGCAGCTCGGAGCTGAACAGGCAGTTCAGTAAATCGATACGATGAGTGTGATTGCTGCCTACGTTGCCCGATTACTGACGCTTTAAAAAAAGTTCTGTAGATGAGATTTCAAGCAGAGTTTGCAGTAACAAGCACTTATGAAACAATCAGTGGACGTTTTTCTGCAAACTTTCAAGCTTAAAAGAAAAAAAGAAAAAAGCAGAAGTTTAAAACGCAATTTGAATTCTCAGTGTTGAGAACTCAAGCATTGTAGCTCTTAGAGCCTGAGGGTGAAGCTGATCTACAAATAGTTTCGACACTGGCTTAATGGATAATTTCCCATGAAAAAAACCCAGAGTAATGCAAAAAAAAAATTCCAAAGCGTATGGCATCAGGGAGGCTGGATTTGGATTTCTTTTATTCAACGCTGTGGATGTAGGTACATCAGTGTGTTTGTGTGTAACACTCTTTAGCATAAGAAATCAAAAGGTGATGAAACACTGCATTTTTATTGCCATGTGTAGAAAAGAATAATTGCATTGTTTACTGATTTTATTTTATAGCGTCAATATTTTAACAATGTATTTTTCGTTAATATGAAGTTATGTTATAAACAAAATAGAAAGCTGGCTTGCTAGCTGAGGGATGTGTTATCTCACTAACTCAAAAGGCGTGGTAGCGCTTTATTTGCGCCATTCTTTTTCGTCTACGTAGGAAGAATACCTCCTGATGTATTCAAACAAGGATGTTCTCAAGCAGTTATTGATAAGATGAGTAAAATAGGTTGTTACTGAGCTGGTGAATGTTTTGGGGTTTTAAATTGCTTTATTCATTTCATTATGAGGGGTCTTCCTGGGGTCTTTCAAGTGGGATTTCATACTAGGACCTCAGGTGTTGTAATTAGTGTAGGCTTTTTAATCCCTCCGGACCTACTTTGGTTTACAGCAGCTAAGGTTTGGCCTCCTTTGTTTGTCAGATGGGTGTGCGTAAAAGCAGCGATAGCAGCATCTACCCGCTGTGTGACTGCCGAGAGGGAATCGGGAGATGCCTGCGGCATTTTGCCAGCTGCACCTCAGGTGGGAGGTGTGGGTGGGCATCCTTCTTGACCCTGCATCCCCCAGTCACCCTGTGGCAAATATACAATGTAATGACAAAAAAAAAAAGCCCGTTTTTGTCAGCAAGGCGGCTTGGAGTTCACCAGTAATCCACCAGTTGGGTACAATTAACCTTTCTTTCTTCTGGCGTGATACAGGTTTACTAACAGCTCCAGCCCTCCGTGCGGCAGGTTGGCAGAGAGGTGGTGTTGCCATTGGCGTATGTGGGCCTGCGGAGTTCGGCAGAGCAACACCTGGCAGATGGCTGACAGCTTTGCTGAAAGATTAGCTGGTTGTGGGATTTTGAGAGGGAGTGCAGCACTTCTGAAGGACTACAGGCTCAATACCAGCGTATTTCACATCTTCCGCCCCGACTTAGTAAAGGCATACCTGGAATGCATGCATTGAGAATCGAACCAAGAAATAGGCAGTTTTCCCACCGTTTCTCTGCACTGGTACAGCCAATATTCCCAGATATTTTTTTTTCATGAAAAGTTGGCATTAGGAAAAATGGGGACAAAAATAGTAAATGGAAAGAATGTGGAGACGAGTAGAAAACTGAGAGTTTTCTCTGAGCAAGAGAGATCTGTTCAAGACAGAAGATGAGTAAGGGTAACTGCTCTGTCAAGTCAGTGGCAAAGAAAAGATGAAACATTTACATTCTTTGCTGAGATTTCATTCTTCAGTTAGCAGAAAGGGGAAAGGGTGACAACATTAATCCTGATAGTGGATACCTCAAACCTTAACCATTAAGTCCAGGAATTCAGCAGCCTTCAGAAAAGGCTCAACACTTCGATAGCTGTCTTAGATAAATGAATAAAAAAAGATATTATGTATTCTGTTAAACAGGAACTGATTGATTGGTTGTGCACTGTCAGAAAAAGCGGTGGCTTACTCTTTGTGGATTCCTGTGTATTTGTGCAATCCAGCAATTCCAGTGCTTCCAGCTGAAGCGCCTGGCACCTGGCCAGTACGAGAGAGAAGGCAGTTGGACTGCAGCTCTGGTCCACTTCGTGGTCTGATGTAGATAAAAGCCATAATTCTACATACTTAAATATGTTCTTTAATTAATTGCTCTGTTACTTTCTGAGGGGTTAGCCATTTTGTGTCCAGATGAGATTTTTTTTTTTTCTTCTAAATGCTTACAGTCGGCAAGGGAAACAAGTTACCCATAGAGTCAGGCCTTCCAGGAGCAAGGGTTAAAAACGGCTGATTTTTCTACAGCAGCCATTTCTTCTGTCAAGTCTCAAATCTGATTTTTCCTTTTAGGACTTTTTTCCTTCTCCTTTTTAACACTTTCTCCCTTGGAATGTGAGTTTCTATGTTTGGGCAGTATTTTGAAATCAACAGAATAGAAAGTACACATTCAGTCTCGGCTAGCTTGCATAATGTGCTTTGCTGTCTTTTGGGGTTTGATCAGAGGCTCTTTGAGCCATTGCAGTTCCCTGAATGTCGCATGCTATCTGGTATACAAATCCACCTTGGGACAAAGTCACATGCATCATGCATGATTAATAATGGCTTTGTTAGCTGGTGTGGTAGGAGCTTAATTTGGTTACTACTAAATACGCTGCTGCTTTCTTCTAAGTTTATTCCATCTATGCAAATCCCATGGAGGTGTGATTTAACAATTTCCAAGAGCAAATTCTGTTCAGGGGTGAGAATGCGTTCCAAAAATGGGAAGCGAGAGGTGTCTGGAAGAATTGCGTGCATCACTTAACCAC